ATAGATATGGAATGAAAGTGAGGGATTCAGCGTCAGAAGCGGTGGGTTTGCTTGGTGGGTTAATTCTCTTGACTTGCTTCATTGGAAGGCTGAGATTTGGAGAAACGAAAGTAGAGATTAGCTGGCACTTTGAAAGATCTCTTGCTTGATTTGAAAGTCGATGGGCATCCAGGTCAGCTTATACAACTCAAAATCACTCTCAAACTTTTCCTACAGTTCCTTTTCTTCAAAAAGACTTCATTAACAAATTATTAGAATAACTATTATGCAAGCATTCAACTTTGATCAAAGATTTGTGAGAATTTGGAAAGAGATTTAGAAAGAAAGAGATTTGGAAAGAAAGAGTCATTCTCCATTCTCCATTTCATTCTCGTTCTTTATCTTTCCTCATCCTCTTTTCATTTTTTTCTCACAGATCTTCTCTCTTCCAAAAGATTCGTTATTTACTTTTTAAGGAGAAGAAGGGGAAACGAATCGGTAAATGGAGGAAATTTGGGTTGAGACAAGCGGAAGTGCAATCTCAAAGTAAACCACAAAAGGGAACAGAGCGAAATTTTGAATATATTCTTAAATTTTCAAGTTTCAATCCATCGATAATGGTAGACTGAAGAGGCTAGTGTGTTCAAGGCTTAGTTTAGTTTAGTTTTCTTCCAGTTTAGTTGCTTGTTTAAGTAACAAAGTGCTTGAACAGGATGTGGAATTTATAACAAAATACAAGCGAACTTTCCAGAGAAATTGATCTCAAAGATTTGGGTAGAGTGAGGCCAAGAAAGCGGGACATCTTGCTGACCGATTTCAAAGGGGAACCACCCAATGCCAGAGGCGTTTGCCAGATGGAGAGCGATTGTGTGCGCGCACAAAGAACATTTCGGTATTCTTTTGTTTTGTAAATGTTACAAAAAAGTTATTCAGCTGTAAATTCTTACCTGGGGGTTTTCAGGGTCGGCGAATCGATTCGAGGTATTCGTTTTATTGATTCATATCAAAAAAAACAGTTTTTTTTGGATACTCTAGGCTAGGGAAATCAAAGCCAATTGCATAATTATAGGATGAAAACAATTCGATGTAATCTACAGCGATTTAGTTTTTGTTTGGATAAGCAAAACTCTTTTCTTTTCAAAGTTTTCATATTATATTGATGATCGAAAAAAGAGTGTTCAGAAAGGTGTCGGAGGGAAGGTTTTGCATTTGTTGCAATGCAATGCAATGCAATGAAAAGATCCAATTAAAAATCCTTAGAAATGTAGAATTTTGAGAAAAATTAGTATTTCAAAAAGAAAAAAAGAAAAATCTTCTAGAATTCTAGAAAAAAAGGTTTCTGATTTGAATGAAAAGAGGGGTCAGGTTAATTTCCGCAATTTTATTTCCGCAACTCGCCCTAACATTTTTCTAAGTCGACCAATTTTTATGCTTTTAATTTCATTTTGTTTCACTTATCGTGATGTACAAAATGAAATCAAAATCATAAAGATTGATCGACTTAGAAGAAAGTTATGGCGAGTTGCGCAAATGACCCTGTTGCGTAAATGATCCTGTTGCGTAAATGACCCAGTTGCGTAAACGATCAAGTTGCGTAAACGATCCTGTTGCGTAAATGACCCAGTTGCGCAAATGATTCTGTTGCGCAAATAAAATGGCGGAAATTAGCGTGCCCCCTATGAACAAGCTACAAAAAGATAAGATTTCGATATTTAATGATAAGATTACTGCGCTGTAAGTAAGGCTAGGTATGGCGATTTGTGTAAACGATCAAGTTGCCTACCCTGAAGTTAGCCTACTCTGAAAAGAGTTTTTAGAATCAAAGATCAAATATAGAATTAAAAAAAGAAAGAGTGATCGAACTGGATTATCAGCTAAACTTTTGACAATTTCAAAATCAGGATCTACCCTCAATTATACGAAAAAAGTGAGGAAATCACAGAAATTTCAGTTTTGAATTTCTCAATGATCAGTAATCATTTTGTTTTTCTAATATCTTCTAAAGTAAATAAAGAAAGAAGGTTTTTTTTTTTTGGATTTCCCAATGGGATATTCATTTTCATTCATTTTCATTCATTTCATTCATTCATTCATCCCAATATTCAACTTCAAACAACTTTATTGAATATTTATTGACAATTTTATATCTAAAGTTTTCTTGTCTTGTTTATGCTTACTTTTTCTTGTCTTGTTTATGTCTTGTTTATGCTTACTTTAAAACTACTTCTAAAACTTATTTCAAATCTAGTTTTCTCTTTTCTTTTTTTTCCATATTTTATATAAGAAATCTTCGAATAGTTTATTAATTTAAAAAAAAAAAAAAACGAAAAATGATGTACATTTCCTGAGCTTTCACCTCAAATTTCTGATTGAATATGAAAGATTTATGGGTGAAAAAATGAAGGAAAAGGAAGAAAAAGGGAAAGAAAAGATCAAACTTTCCTTCATATTGGAAATTAATTGAAATTTGAGAATTATTTGTGAAATTAAAGATCAAAAGCGAAGTTATTTTAGTTATTTATGTCGACACGGTGTACAAAAATCAATTCCAAATTCAAAAATCCCCCCAAAAAAAAACTCCTCTTGATGCAGGACTTTACTGTCGGCTAACTCCGGCGAGGTTTGGACAAGGTTTAGACTTAGCTTTCCAGCCTGAATCAGCTCTTCAATAAGCCCAGTGCAAGTCGCTTTCTTTTGCTTGATTACCAAATTGTCTTTGCTATTGCTGATGATGGTAATAAAGAATGCTTTTCTTTTTTCAAAGGGAAAGAAAAGCTTAGGCTTAGGCTTAGGCTTAGGGTTAGGCTCAGGCTTAGGCTCAGGCTCAGGCTCAGGCTTAGGCTCAGGCTCAGGCTTAGGCTTAGGCTCAGGCTTAGGCTCAGGCTTAGGCTTAGGCTCAGGCTCAGGCTTAGGTTTAGGCTTAGGCATAAATGAATCAAATGATCAAATGGTTAATTGAATAGAAAAAGAATGGAAAAGTGTTTGCGCAAACAAAGAAGAGGTCACTGATTTAATGAAGTTGAATAAATTTGAGATCAGATAAAAAGTCGAGGGGAAAGTCGAGAGGAAAGTGGAAAAGGAAGTGGAAAAGAAAGTGGAAAAGAAAGCGGAAAAGAAAAAGTTTGCAAGTTTGCACGCATTTCTTACTGAGAAAGCTGAAGATCTAGTTGCAATTCTCATAATTTAATATTCAAAAAGAGAAATGAGAAATGCTTTTCTCTAAAACGAGAACAATTTCCTTGTTATTGTTGAAAAGAAAAGAAGAAAATTTGTTTTTTAAATGTTTTTAACAAGTAGAAAGAAGGATTTGTTTTCAAAAACATTTCAAAATTCGAATAAATAAAAAGAAAATTGATTTCGAGAAGAAAATTGAATGCTATTCATTTACTAGCACATTTTACTCGTTACCTAGAACTTAAAATGATCAAATTACTTACACAATTTGAGTAACTAAACACTGAATCGATTCTAGAAATCAGAATGAATTCGATTTCTAGCATAAGCATCACTTACTATTAGGGTGGTGCAAAAGAAACTGCCGATGGGTATCAGCTCTCATTTATCAGAAACGAGCGATGCTAACGGCATTAGTTTTTTTATGTTTTCTTCGCATATTTGTTTGCTATTTATTTCGACATTTGAATTTTTTGGTTGTTGTTTATTTGATTTTTAAATGCTTATATTTTTTTATTTAGATCATGGTCGAGCAAAAGTTTGTGCTACGAGCAGCATTACTGTTTAACTTCAAAATTGGAAAGTCTGCTGCCGAATCGCATCGTTCTCTCTGTGCTGCTTTCGGAGATGGCAGTTTGTTTGTCTCTCAGGCAGTGTCAGACTTGGTTTCAACGATTCGGAGAGGGAGACGAGACTTTGGAAGATTACGAGCACGGTTCGAGGCCATAAGTCGTGAACGAAGCCAAGCTGAGGGACGTTATTCAGGCCGATCCATGCCAATCTGCTCGAAATCTTGCGAAAATATTCCATTGTGATCATGTCACCATCGAAGGCCATCTTTTTTTTGAATTTACCATCAAATCAGCAGTTTCTTTTGCACCACCCTAATCACTTAGAATTTGATCTTAAAACGTTTGATTTCGGTTTGGCTTGCAAAATTTCAGATTTAAGATCCTTTAAAGCCATAAAGATATGATTTTTTTTTTTTAATTTCTGAACTTTTTAATAAAAAAGCATTCTTAAACAAATAAAACAAATAAAACAAACAAAAAAAATAGAACAAAGATCAATTCTTTGATTCTTTGATTCTTTGATTAATTTAATAGTAGAAAAGATGAAGAAGAAAGGGTATTCTTTGAAGAAAAGAAGAAGCGCTCAAGTCAAGTTCTGATTGAAAGATCTTTATTCAAAAAGTAGGGAATGTAAGAGAAAGGAAAAGAAAAAGAATAAGAATAAAAATGACAAAGAAAAAAAAAGAAGAATACGCTTTTTGAAGAGAGATTCCTTCTCGTAATTGAATTGGGAGAAACAAAGCCTTTTTTGGGAGAGGAGAGTCCAACACTAGCTTATACAACTCCAAATCACTCTCAACTTTTCTTACAGTTTCTTTTCTTCAAAAAGACTTCATTAACAAATTATTAGAATAACTATTATGCAAGCATTCAATTTTGATCAAAGATTTGTGAGAATTTGGAAAGAGAAAGGAAAAGAGAAAGGAAAAGAAGGAAAAGGAAAAGAATAAGAAGAAGAAAGATCTCTTCTCGTAATTGAATCGAGAGAAACAAAGCCTTTTTGGGAGAGGAGAGTCCAACACTAAGATTTCCCCAGTTCGATTTAGTAGAAGAAGCAAAAGAAATAGTTTTTTTTCTATTTTATAGTAAAGTTGAAGACTTTTCTCTAGTTTTTTTGAATTGTTACTGTTAGTTATTGTTAAATTACGATAATTTTAGTTTTTAGTTTGTCTTTCATTGTTCAATCTTTGCCAATATTTACAAACACGAAAGAAACTCAAAATAGGTAAAATAAACCCGTTTCATTGACTTGAAAATGGCAAAAAAAAGGCGTTAATATAAGAAAAGAACAATTAAAATAGTTAAAATGATTATGATCGAAATTTTTCCTTTCGAATTTTCAATTATCGGAGCCGATTGTGAAGCTGATTGTGAAGCCGATTGTGAAGCTGATTGTTGAGCCGATTGTCGAGCCGATTGTGGTGGTTTGGTTGTTGGACTTGAAAAATATGTTATTAAAATCAATTTTCTCATTTGATTTTAACCTTTAAGCGCAGGCTTAACTATTTTTCTGAAATTTCTAACTTTCAATATTTCCACTTACAAAACGGGTGCCGCTTCAGCAATCAACGAATTCCCATCGAATTTCGGAGCGATACTTGGCTGTGGTAGACGATACGTTGAAATATCCTCGCACATTTTTGGCCATCTAAGTTATGATTAAGCTAAATAGGATAGATCTAAACTAAAATTGATCTAAATATCTAAAGATACGAGTTTCCCTTTTGATAAACATCCTTTCAATAAACCCGAACTTTTTGAGTGTGCCCATGTCGAGTGCAAGGCTCTGCATCGACTCAAAGCTTCGTCTCGTCAAGTTGATTACCTGAAAGCTTTACGATTTCATGTCTAGTACTATGATTTTTTAAACGTTTTCCTTTAACAAACCAAATTCGCCGTCTCGAAATCACAGTCATGCGCTATTGTGGGCACATCGCAGTGCAGGGAACAGATGACATATCTTAAATGTTTGAATATCAGCAATGATTTGGGTAGTTAGGTATCTGATGTCAACTCTTTGATATCTGATGTCAACTCACTCGCAACTTTCCTCAAGATATCGCTCAGCTTGTGACGTGTCTCCATTAAGAGCCAAATGTCTAAAAAGTTGATTGTTTCAATGATAGAAAGGAATCGAATCGAATCGAATTTCGTCGCTTTCAAATTAGGGAACGATAAATGCATAACTCAAATCATTTACACCTAAAATTTCCAATTAGTGAAGTGACAGCATCGTGATGTGAAGTGCAAGTTTTAAGGCATTGATCAGATGGACGAATTGAAGAAAGACACGGGAATTTCTCACCGATTGCTGTAAATTGCTGTAAATGCTTTTAATATTTCTTTGTTTCACGATTCATATTACATTTAAACAAACACTTTTACTTTACAAATCAAAAAAGAAAGAATTCTTTTGTCGATGGAAAGAAATTTCCGTGAATTTTGCTATCTAAACTGAAGAAACCTTTTCGATTGTAGACACAATAATGATCAATGATTTCGGAAGATCGCATTAACATTTGATGCAAGTATCCAGTTTCACATTTTGATGCACAATGTTGAAAAGAGTGATAGATTCTAGGGAAAAAAGAAAACATTTTTACATTTTTATAATCGTGCTTTTGCATTCGAAAAGTTTGAAAAAGTTTGCTTTTTCACGCACACTAACCCACAAAACATCTCAAAAAAGGTTGTGTTGCTGAAAGCGCGAAGAAAATCGTTGTAATTGAGTTGGAGCAGAGAGACGGCTCTAGAAATGTCGAATTTTACATGATTTACTTATTTGATATCATTTTTTTGTTTGTTCTTACCTATCAGGTCCAAGTTGGCCACCGATTAATTCAACAAAAGCGAGAGCACAATGCCCGATGCATGTGTCCGGGTTCTCATGGGCAGTTGGTCTAAAATGTTGGAATTGTGGAATTGTGGAATTGTGGAATTGCGGAATTGTGAATCTGCTTGTTCAACTCAAAAATTACCCTTTTTCCCTAAACTATTGTAATCTTGCTTTATTGGATAAAAAAAATCGAGATAAAATTACTGTCAAAAGAAAGGATTCGTCAAAAACCCACGGTACAGTAGGAATCGCCGGATCGAGTGTTACCGCGAGATCAAAAGCGGAAATCGTCAAGAATTGCTGTAGCATCAACAGTACAAGCAACATTTTCAGAGTTATACAAAAATTGTAGAGTTTTGCCAAGAAAAAAGGACAGGACTTTGGCAGGGAATGTCAGAAAATAGAAAAAAAAAGTGAAAATGTAGAGCAAACAATCACTTTCAGGGTAAAAATTGAGAAATTCTTTGCCTCTGGGTTTTGAGAAGAAAAAAGATGGGAACAGTGATGTGATTGTGAGGGAAATTTGTCCCTTTTTTCCTCTTTTCACTTATTTTCTTTCATCTCTTTTCCGATTTCTGAAGGTCAGTCTCAATTCCCGGTCATTCTTCTCTTTTTCTCGCTTTTGATCAGTTTTTCGTCATTTTTCAGGTGTGGAAATGAGTTGAGAAATCATTTTTCGACCTCGGCATTTGAAATTCAGGTTTAAAACTGTTCGTGTACACACTTTGCCTGAAAAATTACGTAGCTCGGGTAATCAACTGTAGATTTCCGCACTTGAGTAGTAACACTTGTTAAAAGCCCAAAACGTGAGAAGCTACCATAGTTTGTGCAGTTGACGTTTTTTGTATCTAAAACGATCATTTAAACCAACGAAAAGGTATAAGATGATCACTTAAAACAAAAACACAACAACAATCACGACTAACAAGAAAAATTTTCCAAGAAGAAAACGACGAAAAAAGAATCGAGAAAGGAGACATTGAGGGGAAAATCACAAAGGACTATTACAAAATTGCAAAATCTAGACGTATCACTAAATGAACCAGAGGAAAATGAGAAAATTTTAAGGATATTAACGTGACGTCCTGAGTATATCAAAACGAAAAAGGGAAACGGATGCTTATGAGTTCTACCAGTAATTCAAACTTAACATGCCCTTTGAATTATCAAAATTCGAGAAAGAACAATGACAGTACTAACCCATAAGTACCAAGGAAACAATGTGGAAGAATCGAAGGGAAAAATTCTGTCAACAATGCTAAATCAAAGACTAATCGTCGCTAACAAAAACCAAAAAGAGAATTTCCATATGCCATCGGTGGAACAGGTGGATGTGGTACCGAATCGAATGAAGTGAAACGGGGAGTGAAGTCGGGACCCTGGATCGTCAAGAACGCGCCCTGAAAGAGAGAAAGCTGTAAAAATTCACGAAAAAATCAAAATTTAGCCGATTAAAAAGTGACTCGGCTTGCGTCTTGAGCGAATCGCTAATTGATTAGCAGAAAAGTTACCTTGTTCCCCATCTGATCGCAGTAATTCGGAGCCGAGAACACGGTGTACACTCGTCCGTCATGGTGTTTCTCCCATCCCTCCGGCTTGACCTCATGTGATCTAAAAATGATAAAAATTGACAGAATTAATATCGGTTTACTTACCGTACAACATATTGAATGCCATTTGTATCACAGAATCTTTTGCTGATGTCGGGTCCAAATTGGCAGCCGACTCCACGCTTCGAGGGACACCGGCCATTGATCGGTTGAGGGTCGGACCTGGAATTAAAGAAAACTACATCCAACATTTGAAAATGCCTTGCCAATCTTGAAATAGTTATAGACAAACTTAATGAAAATTTTAAGCTCTCACCACAGCAAATCACACATGATTCCCTCCTCGGGCGGTTGTCGAACTCGATCCGTTTTGCGGATATCCTCCAAAGTGACACCGTCCTCCTTGAAAAGACCGCCATGACAAACCTAGAGATAAAACTTTGCACGTTGAGTGTCACTTTTGAACATTAACATAAAATTTCTAGAAAACTCACAAAAACTTTTCCACTAATCAAGTGGCAAAGCGGGAGATGGCAGAAAAGTTCGGTGAAGAGCTCGGCCATCTGTGGGTTGAACTTCTTTTTCACTTCGCCCTCGAAACCGTACATCTAAAGACATAAAGTAATTCAGGTAACTATAAAAATTTGAATAGAAGTCTACGAATAAGACATGTTTGCTGTGAATGAAATACAAAAAATCCCAATGCATTCACTTTGTTCATCGTGTCACTTTCGTGATTTCCTCTGGACATGAAGAAATGATTAGGGTAGAGAAGCTTGAAGCCAAAAAGCGTGAAGATCGTCTCCACCGAGAAAGAACCCCGATCCACGAAATCACCATTGAATAACTAAAAATCATAATCTTTATAAATTAATCATATAACACTTACATAAGGATTTTCCTCGCTTGGTAACCCGTTAATCTCAAAAATATTGCAAAGATCGTAGAATTGCCCGTGCACATCACCACAAATCGTAAACTAAAGGAATTTTTGTGAAAAGTTACAAAAAAGCTCTTCACCTTTTTCTTATCTGGAACCGTAATTTCGATCATCGACGGTTGATCTTTGAAGTAAGCATAAATGTCAAGAAGAATCTAAAATTTAAAATAAAAAAAAATTATATTTTTCATTCAATGGAACCTTGTAAGCGTATTTCCTATGCAAAGAGCCTTGGTCTTTGAAAGTCTTAATGAGATCCACCATGAACTCTTTTGTGATCGCCGAATCGAGTTTGGGACCGGTGTAGGAGTTTTCTACTTCTAAACGGTTTGTTTAAAGAAATTATTCTTCACTTTGCATGTCGATAAAATTGCATTTTTGCTTTGTAAAATCAAAAAAAAAACTAGTGAAAACTTAATAGCCAACCCATCGAATCGACGTTTATTGATTCGGTGATGCTCTTCTTGTCGTGATCGCACGAGATCGCATTCTCGAAAGCGATTCTCTTGACAATCTTTGAGCATTCCGAGCGTTTCTGGATAGCATCCGCATCTTTTGGGCAGGCCTAAATAGATTTTTTGACTAAACATTTAATCTTTCCACTGAGTTTTCAAAAAAGGTACCTTAACAACAGCCTCGTAATCCTTGAGAGCTTTCTTGAATCGTCCTAGCGCCATATTTGCAGTCGCTCGTCGATAGTATCCCTTCACATAAGCTGCATCGGTTTCGATCGCTTTGTCCGAGTCCTCCAACGCGCTTCCATAAAGTTCCTAAAGCTGATGATATTTTCAATAGCTCCTGAAGCAAAAAGGCTAGATTTCATTCAAAAACTCTCATTGTTACCTTTTTTCAAGTAGGCCATAGAGCGATTTCCATAGAGAACAGCTGTGGGATGGGCATCGATCGCTCTTGAGTAGAGCTCGATCGCTGCATCGTAGCTCTGATCTAAACAATGGAATTTGCCATTGGTTTATAAATCTGAATAAATTTTAGCCTTAAAAATCTCACCTTTAAAGTACTTGTTCGCCTCGTCTTTCATTTTGTTTGATCGATCGACGGCATTGCTGATCCCACTCACGCTCTCTAGAAACGCCGTCAGCGTATCATCCCCAGCCATTTCTAAAACAAAAACATTATTTTTAAAACCGATAAAAAGTTGAAAGTAAATCGGAAATTGAAAAATGAGGAAAGTCTTGGGGAAAATGGGGAAATTTCTGTGAACTTTCAAGTTAAATGCCACTTTTTCCACCGTATTTTCGTCACTTTCGCTGAAAAAAGAGCTGTCGATAGTTTAGCGTAGGCGCACGTTGAACTTATCACTTCTTCCGCTTAATTTATTAAATTTTGCAATTGTTTACATAATTGAAGTTGCATTTTTCAAATTAAACCCTTTTCTAACAATTTCCCATTGCAAAAAGAAAATTTTTAGACTACTCAACAAACAACGACAAGCCTGATGTATCAAGCCGGACGCGAACCACCGGGTGACAATGCTGACGATTCGAGTCCATCTTCTATACCGCAACTTAAAGAGGATGACAAGATGCCGTTATTTTTGATCAAATTGTGGAATATTGTTGCTGATCCGACTCTTGAGCAGATCATTCGTTGGGATGATAGCGGATATTCATTTCATATTATCGACCCTTACAGCTTTTGCCGAAATGTGTTACCGCACTACTTCAAGCACAATAACTTGAACAGTTTAATCAGACAGCTCAACATGTACGGGTTCCGAAAGATGACACCGATCGATCGAGGTGGATTGACGAGAGCTGAATCCGATCAGGATCATTTAGAGTTCAGTCATCCCTACTTTGTTAGGGATCGTCCAGAGCTTTTGGTTCAGATCAAACGCAAATCGTCGGCTAGAGCACAAAGTAATACGGACACTTCTGATAAGGTGAATCAGAATCTGAATGTCGTTATGGATGAGTTGCACAGCTTGCGCGAAAAACAAAAATCGATGAACGCAAAAATGGATCAGCTGGTGAAAGAGAATGGGACATTGTGGGAACATATATCTCATCAACGTGCTCAACACCATAAACAGCAGCAAGTAGTCAACAAGCTTGTGCAGTTTATCGTAGCTCTTGTGCAACCGAACACCACCAAGAACACCCGCTTGGGTGCCAAGAGAAATCTGTTGGCTATCGATGAGCCGCCAAACAAGCGGTATCGAACTTCGTCAACCGGAATGGCTTCAGGTTCACAATTGACAGAAATTCTAGATCGTCTTCAACGGGAAATGATCGACAGCGGCATTGTCAAAGGATTTCCAAATCTTGGAAACTGTGACAATGAGGGACCGATCATTGCCGATGTCACTGATGAGCTTTCGCAGAGTCCTCCACAACCGCCGCCAATGCCACACCCGAACGATTACTCTGCACCAATGACGACTAGAAGCAGCTACAATTCGTCAGTGCCGAATAGGAACTTTGAGCAACAGAACATTCCACGAACCCCACGAGTCCCACAATATCAGAACAACCAGCCAATGGCTACCCAAATGAACGTTCCCCAGAGAAACTATCAGCCATCAAACAACGAGTTCGTCTACAATCACCCAAAAACAACTACTTTACAGCAAAACACTACGCAGATGCAGCCTAACACTTTCCACAATGAGTTTAGCGAATACTTGAACGGGGTTGACGCGGGGATCGACAATTGCAGGGATTTAATCGGTGGTCAATGGGATTTGGACTTTAACGAGGAGGCCTGGGAAGAGTTAAACAATCAGAATAAACTCAACCAACCACCACCACAACAACAACCATTCTTGCTTCCGAGACAACAGAAGCAGCGATTGGCGTTGGAGGACGGGGTGGTCACGTCGCCGGAAAGCAACCATCAGCCCCGGGACATGTTGATCAGCCCTGGACCCCATGGGCTCGATATTTTCCCGGGCACTCCCGATCTCCTAACACCGATCCAATCACCCCATCATTGAGTAGCTAAAAAATGAGCACCGATATCTTTTTTTGTGATTAACATTTCCGATTTCACAGCTTTTAAGTTTTGGGCACAGTTTATCCCTCCGAAAATCCGCTCAGCACTTAAAAACGATGTGTAAACTGTACCAGATAACGAAAATTTGTTTGATTTGTTGTACTTGTACATTATGAGGGCGCTTCTTGTAAGTTGGACACAAAAAAAATAAATGATAAAACGGGGGTGGGACAAATGCGACCTTTTTTTGCGCACTTTTTTTTTGCTGGAAAAGGCCTTAGGAAAGGTCGTAGAGCTTCAAAAATGTTTTCAAACAAGGGAATCGTATGCGTAGATTCCGAATTTCGACAAATCAGACCTCGCTGACACGTCAAATTTGGGCTAAAAGGCAAAAACTACTGAACTTAACGCTTTTCTGCAGTTTTTGCCTTTTAGCCCAACGTGTCAGCGAGGTCTGATTTGTCGAAATTCGGAATCTACGCATACGATTCCCTTGTTTGAAAACATTTTTGAAGCTCTACGGCCTTTCCTAAGGCCTTTTCCAGTAAAAAAAAAGTGCGCAAATGTCCAGGTGCGCGAAAAAAGGTCGCATTTGTGCCACCCCCGAAAGTTCTTCACTCCTTTGAATGAATATTTGTAAGTTAGAAAATAGTTATAAAAAACCGTAAAAAGTCTTTCATTGCAAGAAGTTCCTAATCCAAAATTCTCTCCCGTTCGATTGCTCCAATCTCCTACAATTTTTTTAGTCATCGTGTAGCATATTTTTCTCGTTTCTCCGTGAATTCAGCGTAGTTTTTTTTGTCCCCGATGATTTTCTTGTTTTATCTTAATTCGATTTACCGTTTATTAACTTTTTTATGAAGGCAAAATAAATTTTAGGCATGGGTTTATGCAAATGTCCGAAGCGCAAAGTCACGAATCTCTTCTGTTTTGAGCATCGCGTTAACGTGTGCGAGTTCTGCCTTGTCGATTCACACTCAAATGTAAGTTTTGCTTCGCTTTGTGTCAAGCTAAAGTTAAACAAAGTAAATTGATAGAGTTCAATTGCTACATAATGCTTTAGGACAAAACTAGCTTTCATTTTATCCAAAAATTTGCCATTTAACAAAAATCATAGGCAACACGATGCTTTCTCTATCAAAATTTCATTTTTAGTGTGTCGTCCAATCATATCTTCAATGGCTTCAAGACAGCGACTACGATCCAAATTGTGCTCTTTGCGAAACGCCGCTACCAGGAAGGGATACAATTCGACTACAATGTCTACGTAAGGCGCAAAAGTTTTTGGTTAAGTATGTTTTATTTAGACATTTTCCATTGGGGTTGTCTCGACGCATGGGCTCGAAATATGCCCGCAAATACTGCACCCGCTGGATACAAATGCCCATTTTGCAGGTTAATTTTTTAAACTTGCTGTTGACTTTTGAATTTTAGAGAGGCACTTTTCCCTTCGACAGAGCAACAATCACCACTCATAGAGAAGTTACGCTTGCAACTAAAAGAAGCAAATTGGGCCCGCGTCGGAATTGGCTTGCCTATTGTAAGTTTTTGAATTTGGCTGGTTTTAATAAAGTTTAGCTACCCGAGCTTGACAAGAATCGGTCAACTCATCCGGTTCCATTGAAGCAGCCAAAAGTTGCAAACGGACCAACGCCACCTACGCCAACTCATCACCCGATCTACCAAACGCCGCAAAGTGATAGCGTTCAATACTCCGGAAATTACAGGTAGCAACTGCAAATTTTTTAGTTGAAAAAGTTAAAATTTTAGAACAAGTACTCCAGCTACAATTGTAGATGTTGATGACGCTTATGGAGCACGAGGATCAGCCTCTGCAACCGATATTACGGGTTTTTGTTAAGAAGTTATAAGTGAATATGTTAATTTGTTTAGAAAGAAAGAAGTATGGTGATTCGTATGGAGGACGAGATGATACAAGACCACTGCTGTCAAGAGATCGAGACTCGGATGATGCAAGCAACAAGTACAAACGTCGGCCAGTAATGCAATGGCTTGGAGGGATTTGGAGGTAATTATGGCTTTTTTGTAAATAGACTTTATTATAGTTAAAGGTATGAGGATTGTTGATGATAGTTTTTGCTTTAGAGCTAAATATGGCAATTCGGCCGGAGGTGGTCAACCAATGAGCCGTGGGAAACGGTTGCTCTTCATCCTTTTCCTGGTTATCGTTGCAATAGTGACAATCACACATCTAATGGGAAAGGTAAAATATCTACTTTACGACATAAATAACGCAAAACTTAGCTCGGTTTCCAAAGCAATGACGATTCGAATCCGATGTTCGACCCGATGGCCAACCCGCATATAAGAGTCGGTGCTGGAGCCGACGAGAATTCTTTCCAGTAGCCATTTTGTGTGTAAATAGTATTTATTTTGTGCATAATCATTTTCTCTGCAACTTTTCCCATTGCGCTTTTATTTTTAGTGATGCAAACGAAATGTCGTTTTTTGATGGTTTCGGTTTGGTTATATGGTCTTGTCGTGTGTTACTTTTTTTCGCACTCATTCATCTGTGATATCTGTCATCTTTTTTTTCCGTTTACAATCTAATTAGAGAATATTTATGGTAAATAAAGTATTCGGGTGAAAAAAAGTGAATTTTAATGATGCTCGATGCATTATGATATCTGCCTGCATTATGATATGATATCTGGTGCCTGTAATTTTGGGGCTAAATCTTTGAACAAATGTTTGTACAAGCACTTGTGCTGCCAAATTTAAATTTGAAAAATATGCGTAGAAAGTCCCATACGTTTGCCCTTGATGCCTATAATACCTTCTTTTCAGCCGTTTTTTGGGTTAACCATGCACCGAGTCGCTTCTGGAGGTCTCCTCAAAGCGGCTCGATCATGCGGTGGACTCAGGGGTCAAGCCGGACAGGCGAAACCTGACAAATTTGAGGTACTGCTTTTAAACTTATTGGTAATCTTTTTAATTCAGGTGTTTATCGATGGGAAATCGGTGCTTGTCGACCCTGGGATGACGATTTTGCAGGTAAACGTTAACTAGATTGCTCTTATTATTCTTGTTTAGGCGTGTGCCCTTGTCGGAGTCGATATTCCCCGCTTTTGTTATCACGATCGACTTTCGGTAGCCGGAAACTGCCGAATGTGTTTGGTGGAAGTCGAGAAAAGCATTAAGGTGTGTAAGATTTTGCTTTTTAACAAGTTATTTGTTTCTAGCCGGTAGCTTCATGTGCCATGCCTGTCATGAAAGGGATGAAAGTGAAAACGAACTCGGATTTCACAAAGAAAGCCCGTGAAGGCGTCATGGAGTTTCTTCTCGTGAATCACCCGCTCGATTGCCCTATTTGCGATCAGGTAAACTCTAATCACAAACATGCTTTAATCTTTTTGTGCTCAATATTTTTGTCTTTGTTTTAGGGGAGGTGAATGCGACTTGCAAGATCAGTCGTTCGTTTTTGGCTCGGATCGCAGTCGACATCAATGTGGGCAAGATGGGAAAAGGTAGGTGATTTACGAATATTTTGTGAAACTTCAAAACAGCCAGTTTTTCTTGCAAATTTAAGTAACAGTATAAATTGCACGTCAAAAAGTCTTAATTTAGGGCTGTCGAGGATAAGAACATCGGTCCTCTTGTGAAAACGGTGATGACGCGTTGTATTCAGTGCACACGTTGTGTTCGATTCGCTAATGAAGTAAACACCTTGAAACAATAATTTTTAACTTTCTGGTTAGGTCTGTGGAGTGCCGGATTTGGGAACAACAGGCCGTGGAAATGAAATGCAAATTGGAACATATGTCGAGAAAATGTTTGCTTCCGAGCTCTCTGGAAACGTGATCGATCTTTGCCCCGTTGGCGCACTCACAAGCAAGCCATACAGGTAAGCAACGGTAATTAGAATGTTCACCAATTCGTTTTAGCTTCAATGCTCGTCCTTGGGAACTCAGAAAAACCGAGTCTGTTGATGTGATGGACGGAACTGGACAGAACATTGTGATTTCGCACCGAGGTGGCGAGGTGATGCGCATCATCCCGAAAATGAATGATGTACGTTAAAATTAACGTATGCTGTATTTCTTCTTTTCTAGGAAGTTAACGAGGAGTGGATCTCGGATCAGGCTCGCTTCTCATACGATGGACTCAAACGGCAACGATTGTTCACACCAATGGCCAAGGGATCCAATGGCGTGCTACAGTAAGTTTCCTCAATAGATCTAATAAAGTGTAAAAGTACGACCAAGTCGTTGGCTCAACTCCATTGAGCTCTATAATTGTAGTTTTTTTTACTTTAGACCTGTCTCTTGGGAGGAAGCGCTGTTCACTGTTGCGCAACGTCTGAAAGAAACGCCAGCCGATCAAAAAGCAGCTATTGTTGGAGGCATGGCTGATCTTGGTAGATTTTAGCAGTAAAATTGACTTATGCCTTTTTATTTTAGAATCAATGGTTGCGCTCAAGGATTTATTCCATCGCTTTAACGCCGAAAATCTGTGCACAGAGGAGGAGTTCCCGTTGACGAGCGGTGGAGTCGATTTGAGGTAGATTTATGCATTTTTATTTTCTTCATAAAGGACTGTAGAACTAATTACACGTTTGCCTCGGGACTTTCTGGTATCGAGAAATCGGATGTGATCCTTCTTGTTGGGACAAACCCACGATTCGAAGCTGCTGTCTTGAATGCTCGCATTCGCAAACAGTATGCATTTTTAAACAACTTAAAAGCAATATACGCTTAGCTATCTCTATTCTGAAGTCGAGGTTGGCGTTATCGGAAACCCGGGTGAGTTTATTTATCTGTTATCATAGATATAGCCACAGATTTTTGTGGATTATCACTTTTACTAACAATAAATTTCAGGAGATCTCACTTACAACTACACCCATCTTGGTGACAACGCGAAGGCTTTGGATGAACTATTGAAAGGAAATGGCGATTTTGCCAAGGTGATTGTAAAATATTGGCCTTGAAATATATTTTTTTTATTTTAGAAGCTTTTGGCTGCGAAAAATCCAACAATCATCGTCGGTTCACAAAAGTTGAAAGGAGATGATGGTGGCAAGTTGCTTACTCGGCTACAAGAACTAACAGCAAAGCTCCAAAGTGGAAATGCGGTAGGTTACATTTTCTTTGCGTTCAGCTATGACTTTTAGGATAAGTCGGCCAAAATTCTCAACATTCTTCAAAGAACAGCAAACCAAACCGGTGCACTTGACATTGGATATAAGGTTAAAAAATGGAAAGCTATAATTTTTTGAATCCAACTTTTAGCCTGGTACATCGGCTATTCGCAAGAAGCCCGTCAAATTCTTATATCTACTCGACGCGGATGAGGGAGCTGTGACAAAGCAGAATCTCGACCCAGGAGCATTTGTGGTTTATCAAGGTAACCTTTATTTCTTGACTGTTTTTACAAGCGCTTTGTTATGCTACAAGTGAGGAAAGATTTAATCCTTTTCCTTCAGGCCATCATGGTGATCGTGGAGCTGAAATGGCGGATGTTGTTTTCCCGGGTGCCGCCTACACAGAAAAGGAGGGAATCTATGTGAACACCGAGGGACGAGCGCAACGGGGATATCCAGCGGTTTCGCCACCAGGAGAAGCTCGTCATGATTGGAAGATTATTCGAGCTCTATCTGAGGTGTAGTATACTTAAATTTTCATATTCAAATTGAATTTAGGTTGCTGGTAAAACTCTTCCATACGATGACATCAAGGCTCTGAGGGTTCGATTGATTGAGGTATTGTTTTGTAGTTATCATAATAAACTTTTACTTGCTCGTTTTAGTTAGCTCCACATTTGAATCGATATGGAGATCTTGAGGGCTCTTCATTTGGACACTTGGCAGCTAAATTAGCACAGGTTGGTTGATTGCAGATTAAGTAGACGGAAAAAGCTGATTCAAAACAACAACTGAATTTGTTCTTTAGGGTGGATCGGTCGATTTGTCATTGACTCCCGCTCAACGAGATTTGCCTGACTTCTATGTAACAAATAATGTCACACGAGCTTCGGTCACCATGTCTGAGGTGGGGCTTTGAATTTTGTTAATTGTAAACTTATGACAACGATTTTAATACTAAAATATTCATTTTCAGGCCCGAAAGGCAGCGCAAGGATACAACGAGAACCCGTACGCCGAGGAGAAACGACCGGAGTTCTACTTGCACGCTTAGTCAGCAGTCATTAGATAAGATATACGAGGAAATTTTCGTTTACTTTTCGATATCAAAGTTTGTTTAAATGTATATTACACGTCTTTTTAGTGTTTCTTATGTGCATATGAATAGTAATTGTTCAATAAAAGTTTATACTTTGTGTTTAGAAAGGAAAAATTCGGGGGAAAGCTGGTTGGTCAAAATTTTAGGGGCCAAGAACCAGTTTCTGTTTTAAGTTTGACTTTTCGAGGTTTATACAGCAAGGATCGTGTATCAAATAAACACTCCAATGAGCACCATAATTGGCATTGTTTACGCAGTCATTTTTTTGGCGAACGAACTGATTGTTTTACTTTTGTGACTTGAAAACTTGAAAAGTTTTCTCTTGGTGTCCTTTTTTTTCTCATCTAACCTCAATAAGGGTCTCTTCTTTCCCATTTTTTCACTTCGTGAAGCGGATTCTCGGCAATATTTATGCAGCTGTGGGGAAATTGGAGAAGAGTGCTTTTCTCCTTTTTGCTTTTCACCTCTTCTTTTCCTTAAGCCCTGCCGAACCCCATTTTTGCCATCAAACAACAAGTTTCTGAGTGATTCACTACTGAAATCCCATTGCATCTCTATAATGTTCTATCAATTGATCTACTTTTTATTCCCGCCATCAATGGCTTTGACTTGTTATGATTACATGGTGACGTCAAGCTGGAATCCGACACACGCCACTGTTGAGTGTCCGCCTGGTTGGAGCTTTGTTTTTTAGGCTTTCGAATTTGCATTTATCCTGCCTCAATCGAATTTAAATTTATTCACCTTTAGATCTTTTGAAAACTATGCTTAAAAGACTATTTCTGATAATAGCTTTTTAACAATAGCTCATCTTACACAACACAAACTAAACTTTACTTTACTTCATTATATATGCAGTGACTCTTCAGACACCAAATTCTGCTACTCGAGCTATCTGGAAACGGAGGATTTGTACGGAAATAACACCAAAATCGAGGCACATTCTTGTGCGAGTGCTGCCGTATGTCAGGTTGGTTGCTCAAGAATTTGAAATCACCACTAGAAAGCATAGGCGATTGCAGTAAGCAGCGGTTTGCATAACAGTACCGAGCGATGGATGCGAAGACTAAAAGTAGTAGAGCAAAACTAAAGACATGATTACGGTAGTCTTGCGAAAGTCTTCTTTCAAAAAGACGCTTTGCGTATAAATTCTCATAAAACTTGATACAACACATTTTTTGCAGGAAATCGGCTGCGGAACGAACCCCAAAGATTACATCTGTTGTTGTGCACAAGATACATGCAATTCAGCCCTCAAATTGTCAACAATGATTCCGATATTTTTGTGCTTATTTGTCTTTTTGTTTCATCGATGATCATCGGATTGTTTTTTTTGTAAATAAATGATTTTTGTGAGGATTTAATGGTGTCATTTTGTGTGTAGAATGATGAAAGGCACTCCTTCTCTCATTAAACTCTAAACCAACTATAGGAATCAATCAATCACACTAACACAAGTAGTCTCTACCACAACTGTAGAGGTCTCAGAGTTTAAGTTAGTTAAAGTTGGCTAAAGTTTAACAAAGTTGAACGCTGATTCTCTTCTTTTCTCTTTCTCGAATAGCTTAATCAATTGTTGAGCGTTAGCAGTTCAACTCCCGTTCAACTTTTTTGTTATCCGAGAGTTTCAGTTCAATCAAAAAGGCTTTCGGATTAGAATCTACGCTAATCTAAGCTAATTTTCATTCTTGTTGGATCCATTGAACTCTCAAGGTTCTCAGCTTTCAGCCTTTATGTCACTATTCAAGTGTATAGCTTGAATCAAGCAATACACTTGAATAGTGTAAACTTATCTCAAGCAATACACTTGAATAGTGTACTTATCTCAAGCTATACGCTTGAATAGTGCAAACTAATCTCTTGCTTTGATTCCAAGTGATTAATAACATTTCTTTTCATATTTTTCATCTCTTCAACGCTTTCACTATTTCCCCTTTTCATTTGCTCATATCGACCCCGTTTACGCCCGCAGGCTATGGTCAAAAGGGATTGAGGAGAAGGGGAAAAAGAAGACACGCTTTCCCGCTTTTTTCTTCTTCACAAATTCACCATTTAACCTTTCTCCTTTCGTCTCTTACGTTTTATTCAAGCAAATCTTTTCTAATTTCTTTTTTTAAAGTCTACTTTAAAAAAATGGAAAGCTATCATTTTTTTTTGAATCCAACTTTTAGCCTGGTACATCGGTACAGCCTTTTTAAAGTCTTTCTTTTTTAAACTTGAAACTCGAAAACTCAATTCTTTCATTTTAAACCTGCCATTTTTAATATTGAAAAGTTTTTAAAACCAATAAATATTTTTTACTTTTTCACCAAAAACCAGTTTTAGTTTATTTAGTAGAATGATTTTTTTCGTTAAAAAAATATATTTATTTGTTATTGATTGGGATAAACGCTCAGAAAATAAATTTCATCTTGTAAACAGACAGGGAATGGAAGAGGGAATGGAAAGGGGAATAGAAAAGAGAATAGAAAAGAGAATAGAAAAGAGAACAAACCAATTTCTTTCCTCAAACTCCTTTCCCGGCTGATCACCATGTTTTTGTGGAGTTACTTTTTACTGAAAATAACAGAAATTACTTCCTTTTCTTTCTTGTCTTTCAATTCTGGCTTGATTTACAAATCCTAGAATCTAGAAAAATCCCTGAGCATAGCCACGTTAACAATCTATTGACGATCTGTTAACGATCTATTAACGATCTGTTAACGATCTATTAACGATCTGTTAACGATCATTCAAAATTTTTAGACTTTCATAAACAAAACTTCTTTTCTACTACACTTTCTCGTTAAAGGCTTATCGGGGAATCTACAATAAGAAAAAAACTATCTTTATTCTTTAAGTTTTAAACTCTCTGGTCTATTTTTCCCATGCTGGACGCCACGCGGAGAGAAGAGAAAGAGGGAGAGGGATGGTTGACACAAAAAGACACCTCTCTCTCCTCTCTCTCCTCTGCACATCCACAGTGACTGGGTCGAGATCGGGCAAAGTACAATCTTTTGCATCCTTTTCATTCTCTCTTTTTTTTCTCATTTGCAATCTTGCCCACATCTCTCACTGATTAGGAGTCATTCTTCTGAGCAAACATAAAGACGCTGAATCTTGTTGTGACTTCATTTCGTAGCTGAGCTTTAAAAAGTTTCTTGTTTTTCTTTTGAATAACTTTAAAGATTTTGCAGGTTTGTATAGATTCTTTACTTAAATTTACTTTTTCTAATTTTTGTGTTCTAGAAGAATGACTGTGAAAGAGGGTTCTCATGATCCGATCAAGAAGAAGGAAAAGGTTTGAAAGAATTTGGAATAGAGTAAAACAAGTAAATCAAGTAAAACAAATATAAACCGTGATTACTTAGTAAGAGTAAGAGATCGAATTTTCACATTTTAGCCGATCATTTCTCCATTTCCCCTCTACAAGCATTATCCGAGCCGTTTCGAGCAAATCGTCTATCAGACTTATGTGAGTGAATCGTTGAAATATATTCGTGATTCAATTTCCCCAAAATGAAATGAATAAACATTTCTAGAATGGTGTCGAGAATCGAATGTGGCCTGTTCGCCCGCTCTACTACGGGATGGCGGCCACAGCGATCGCCGCCTATCATTGGAGAAATCCGTCGAATTACCTCCTCAATTTGTTGCCGCAAACCGAAAATGTGATGCTAGAGGTGAAAGGATAACTGTTGAATGTTCAATGTTGAATTTAGAATCCTTTTGCTGACCATTTCCATTCTTTTTACTTATTAATCCCTCCTAAAAAACCTTTCGAAGTGTAAAAGGCAAAAAATGAGAAGATAAAACAAAGCTAAAGAGCAAAAAAAGATTGATAACAAAGCCGGGTCAAAAAAGGCACGTGTGTCTCTCAGGAAAACTGTTTTCTCAAAGAAAATCGAGAAATGATTAAGATCGGACAAAGTACACATCAAAGAGACAAGTTTTTATAGATTGAGCTTTTGGGAGGAATAGATCTAGCTTTAAATGAATTTATTAGTTAAGAGGAAATGAAATGAAGCATTATCAAATAATCTATCAATAAATCAACCTCTATTCTCCTTTCCAGACTCTGAACATCAGCGTTCTCTCACTGGGTTCATCCTATTCCCTGTGTTTATCATAATCTAGCTTTAAACGAATTCATTAGTTAAGAGGAAATGAAATGAAGCATTATAAAGTAATCTGTCAATAAATCAACCTCTATTCTCCTTTCCAGACTCTGAAGATCACCGTTCTCTCACTGGGTTCAGCCTATATTCCTGTGTTTGTCATTCGTCGTTTCCTCAAGCATTTCTACTTTTCCTACAAGGGTTTTCTCTTTGATAACCCAAAGAAACCATCGATTACGACAAGGATTTGGGGAGTGAGTGAGAGAATTTCCTCCTTTAAACTCAAAATTCAATTCCAGATCGTACGTGCCGTTCTCTCATTTTGTCCACCTCGTCTCCAATCTTGTGAGCGCCTCCTTCCCACGCAACCCGTTCCAAATCTTCAGGAGAATGTGGCTAAATACTTGGAAAGCATCAAGCACATTGTTGGAAAGGTAAAATTTGCTGAAAAAGATTTCAACATGATTTCAACCACAGGACGAGCTGGATTTGATCACGGAACAAGGGGAAAAGTTTCTGAAAGAGGAGGGAAAAAAGCTTCAAATGTACGCACGTCTCTACAGTCTTTTCACCACCAATTATGTGTCAGATTTTTGGCGTAAATACGTGTATTTGTATGGAAGGTGAGAATTTTATGGGTATCAGAGATTTTCAAAATGTTTAGAGATCCTCTCTTGATCAACTCCTCCGTTGCACATGTGGATTTGTTCCGTGATGCTCCAGCAATGAGAGCAGTTCGGGCTGCGCACGTTGTAGCAATCGAATCACTTTCACAAATGGCCATTCATCGTCAAAACTATAAACCGGTGAGTGAAAGGGAAGAGAGGCTGGCATTTTGTTCACTCTATTCAGTGA